TGGTCGACTTCCCCTTCTCTATGTATTACTACACACCTAACCCCGCTCCCCTGTTCGCCGCGCCCGCCGTGCGCATTCCCGCTCACAGAGCGGCACACCTCCGGGATCTCCCGCGGAGATACCCAGGGGAGTGCGGCTGTGTGCGGGGATGACATGGCTCCTCCCACGTGACCCCAACCGCATGTATATAATAGCACCTGGGGTGGGAACAGAAGAAGCAGCCTTCTTCTCAACTTCCCACTTCAGACTAAGTGGTCGGGGATGCTCACCCTGCAACAGGACCGCCGCTACGCATAGCCGACACCTGTCCCATCGAGTCCCTCATGCCGGGACCTTGCTGCTTTTGGAGCTGTCTCTGACAGGAAGCCGCTTGCTGGCCCCCTTTTTCGTTTCTCATCCTGCTGGGTGGGAGTAGGTGTGGTGCAAAGTAGTTGAGGTGGTGGTGATCGTAGTGGTAGGTTGGTGCACCGCTGTGCTGCGCATCCATTCCCTATCCGGTCCCTGACCCCCCTTGTGCTCTGCTACCCTGCTTGCAACGTGTGCACGACACACCCAGCCCCAGACAACCCGGACGGCCTCACGGTGCAACCCAGCATGCATGCATGCAGCACACGCCCTCGGGATCCCCCATGGGGACACCTGGATGACTGCAGCTGTATGCAAGGTGTGTCAGAAAATCGCGAGATCGATCAAAAACACGAGACTTGACATTTAAAATGCCAAAATTTGATGTTTAAACGTGAAATTTGGCATCTAAACATTGTGATAAATTGTTTATGGCGTTTTTTGATATTATTGAATGTGTTTTTATACCCCTCAAACGCTCTGAATATGTTTTTAATAACTTAATAAATGTGTCATAAATGCTTCCTACAGCATCAAAATCGTCAAAAATCCGTCTCATATAACACATAAAGTACCACCACATCTGACCAATGTATTCTCATCGGCTGTTGGGTAGTTGTTGTAAAAAAATGCCATGAAACGTTTCCCAGGCATTTAAATGATATATGGGATTTTCCGACATGACGTGGCAAACCTCATGTGACCCAAGCCGCATGTACATAAAGGTACCTGGGGTGGGAACCGAAGAAGTAACCTTCTTCTCACAGTTCCTACTTCAGGTAAGTAGCATAGTTTCCCTTTTAATAACAACTCACAGTTCCCACTTCAGTCTGAGTGGTCAGGGACCATCTGTCATATCCATCCCCGGCCATCGACTTCCGGTCCCTCCGATCCCTCCGTTCCAACTCCGCTCCTCCCTCACTAACCTCGGAGCCCCCGTATTCCGCAATCCTCTCGGCACCCCTCGATGGTCACCACCCCCTCATTTCAATTTATTACCTACGCCTCCCTAAGTACGGAGCCCCGAAGACTTCCGGACAGCTCCGACGTCCGCTAGCGCACCCCCGCCTCCACTGGGCAATACACTCGCCTGCCCTGCAGAGCCCACCTTTGGGCCTATCCCTCCTTTCTGTTTCTGGGTTATCGCCTGCCTTTCCGCTAACCCCGTGAACCGACTCGTCGGTAATATTCAGTCGGCTAATGTTTAAACCCTGTTAGCTCCGCTCCGTTTGGCTCTGCCAATTGCGGAACCGTCTCCGCTGTAACCATATATATATCCCACTTGTACATAGGTTACGCCTCAGTAGAAAAATCAACTAGAGTTACCCCCCTAGGTTCTAATTGCCAGTCAGTAAGTTAGGGCACGGACGTGTCACTAGGCACAGCGCTCTTGGCAGAAGTCGCTGAGGCCGAAGCCCTCCGTTACGGAGACATTCCTTCGTCTTGAATCTGGTCTCTGACACCATCGTCCTGTACCGGGCCCGTCAGTATGCATGCCCACTCCACACCCTGCAACGGCCTCAGTGCCAGGCGTTATACCCGGTGTAGGAATATAAAAGTTACAACACTAAAACAACCAGAAACAATCACAGAAAATTAGATAAATATCATACAACCTCCACGGACCAGAAATAAAAATAGTAATAAAATCATAACTCAGTGAAATGAATTGAAATAAAATATCGGAAAAGTACTGAAGAACAGAGTCAATGAATTGATTATCTACGCGAACTTTCAAGTTTAGGGATTAAAAGGTGGTCCAGAAAACGAAGAAAAACAGCAAATAAACCCACATGAAAACAAAAACAAGGTTTCCTGTATCAAATAAAATATTAGAAATTCGTGGTAACGTGGGAAAATAGTTTTACGAACGTACGAAACGAATGACAACGAGAAATCGGAAGAAAACCAAGGAATTCACATAATGAAAAATGGTCGGGTACAAGGAAAAGATAAAAGAATTAGGAATATTTATACGAGGAAAATAGGAAAAAATATGAATCTTTGACAGTCTTAAAGAGTTGAAGTATAGGTCTGTGTACGAAAAAATTTCATGTTAAAATCTGAAGAATTGAGAGAGAAACGGATTTAACAAGATTAAAACACACTTGCAGAGAAGACTGGCTCAAACATCCTGAGTTTGTGGAAGAAACGGATAAGCTAGAAATGCGAAACTAAAGAGTTCGAGTCCAGGAACGAGGCATAATTTATCCAGAATTAATTGTAAGAAAATGGATGAGCTAATGCCAAAGCAATCTGGAGAACCTTGAAATTAAATCTTGAAAAATTCATATCTTCATAAATAATCCTTGTAGTTTACTGTTGTTTATACCGACGGAAAGCTACACTCTTAAGCTAACAAATAACCCCATGACATGTGACTTAGAATAAAGTGAGTAAACAAGGGTAAACAAGGTCATGACGGGTGTTAGACAGTGCAATCAGTTGATTCCCACACCAAAACTTCCAGAAAGTTCTAGAAGCAGAATGGGATGCTGATCGCTTACATAAGAGGATTACTAAGCTCAATATAAGATTACTCAGCAATGTAAATAGTAAAGTGATGTCACGGCCCCGCAAGGTCCCCGCCCCTCTACCACTTTCTGCACCCCCATTCTTACACCGTTACTTGCGCCCGTTAATCTCGCCATTGCCCATCACTTAGCGGTGCCGATAGTGGTTCCCGTTCTACGGCCCCGTAGCAGCGCCTCCCTCGTTTTCCCGCCACCACTTGGGTTCCTCAACCATTCGGCTGGTATCGTTTTATTCTATTCACTCGCTTAACTAACTAGCGGTTGTTATGGTCGCCGATGATCCGCTCCTTATCGACATTCCTTATTGACAATTGATTATTCCTTTATTGATATTTGATTTATACGTATATTGACATTCTGATCCGCGCGCCTAGATTGTCGGCTTATCCTTTCTGCCTCCCAACTTCGCCGTTCTCTGTTCCATTCATCTCTTCTGTTCCATTACCCTGGTCCTCATCGCTCTTTAGTTCTGTCGTACTTATCATCTCGTTCCCGTCCCGCGCCGGACCGACCGGTCCCTTCTCTGTTCTCCTTTCCTATTTATACTTGTAGTTTACTGTCGATGTACCTCAGTTCGAATATCGACTAGAATTCCCCCCAGGTACTTTCATCTTAAGTTCGCCCCTCAACTTCATCCCGCTTAAGTCAACGTCGCCGCAAGGTCTTTCCCGCTAACGTGAAATACGGGACAGCCTAGAACGCGTGGCACAACGCTCTGGCAAAGTCGTTGAAGCCGAAGTCCCAACCCCCTCGACGCCTTGCAACGGAGTAGCTCATTAGCTAAGTGACCACTTACGCCGCCGTACTCCGCCCCGCTTCCTGCGATCCCCTCGAACACAGTTTCTGACAAGTGACATGTGAAAACAGAGCCCTTAGGAAAGGTATAAAAGACTGCATTTTCTGGTCTGACCCCTCTTCCTTCTTTACTCCTCTCCCCTATGTGCTCTGGCTCATAGGTCATAAGGCGTCCTAATAAAAATTAAGTTTTATTAGTATAAGTGTGCAGTTCAGATCACATCTGAGTAAAAGTGATCAACCCTCAGTAAAAAGTTAAGAAGAAGTTAAGAAATAGTGACGTTGAGTCAAGTCGGTTGGAGTCACTCCGAGTTAAAAAGTGACAAGAGAGAGGTGAAACGACTAAAAATAGTAGGTCTATAGCACGATTTTTGTGTGGAACAATCAGGTAGACAAGTGAATTGAACCCTGAGTTCATACACACACAAATAATCAGTAACACATACAAATATCAATACACAAAGCAACCAAAACGCTACAGTGGTTGAGTTAAAGTACCAATACTAACATATAAGTATCAGAAGAAAGAACAGCCTTTTATAGGATTTCTGTTCTCCTCCTTCACTGGGCACCTTCAACCCTGGATGCGTCCCTGACAGGGGGGTGACCTTAGGTGCTTTGGGCTTGGGCATGGGTGCGGGTGTGGGTATGGGTGGGGGTGCAAGTGGGGCTGGCAGGTTCTGGACATGGCTTTCGAGGATGGCCTGCAGTTCCTGGAACCTGGTCAGCAGGTCCTGGTACTGCTCTTCGGTTACCATGCTGGAGGAGGTGGGGGAGATTAAGTTGAAGCCTTCTTCTGCTGTCAGGGATGGCTCAAGAGAGGCAGAGGTAGTGGCATAGTGCTCAGCACTGGTGGCCTGAATGGCAGCAGGTGTCATATCCATACTTGGCCATCGACTTCCACTACCTCCAAACTCTCCAGACTACCTCCACTCCTTCCTCACTAACCTTGGAGCTCCCATATTCCGCAACCACCTCCGCTTCTCTTCAATGGTCACCACCCCCTCTTTTCAATATATTACCTATGCCTCCCTAAGTACGGAGCCCCGAAGGTTTCCAGACAGCTCCGACGTCCGCTAGCGCACTCCCACCTCCGCTGGGCAATACACTCACTTGCCCTGCAAGCCCTCCTTCAAGCCTATCCCTCCTTTCCGTTTCTGGGTTATCGCCTACCATTCCGCTAACTGTCAGAGTACACCCACTTCCGGCCACTTCCAGCCTACTTACCATCATGATCTGATTCCATGATCTATGATCGCCCAGATTCCATGATCCATGATCCCTGTACAGCCTTATGATCTGATCCCACTCCAAGATCCATGTTCCATGATCTATGATCCAACACAGCCAGACAAACCTGGATCATTGATTGTTGGTATGTACAGTGCCTTGTAGATTAGCTGTGGGTGTGGGCTACAGTATATTACACCCTGAGTAGCGACTAGGAAGACCAGCTTTCTTCTCTCATTTCCCCTCGCTGCTCAGGTATGTTGTACATAGTAACATAGTGGCTGGAATACAACTCATTTCCCCTCGCAGCTCAGCTGGAGCCTGTGTCGCCTAGCACACCTCGTGGTTCTCCTATTGAGACCGACCCAGACCTTCCTAGTCTTACCTCCACTTCCACTGGATCCCTTGACCTGAGCTCCGAGCAGCTCGGTATCCTGACACTAACCCTGTAACCTGACTTGTCGGTAATATTCAATCGGCTAATGTTTAACTCTGTTAGCTCCGCTCTGCTCGGCCCCGCCATTTACGGGCCAATCCTCGTTGTAACTATACATATACTCAACTTGTACATAGGTTACACCTCAGTAATAAAATCGACTAGAGTTTACCCCCTTTTAGTTCTGGTTGCCAGTTAGTAAGTTAGGGCATGGATGTGTTACTTGGCACAGCACTCCTGGCATAAGTCACTGAGGCTGAAGCCCTCCGCCATGGAGACACTCCTTCGTCTCGATCTGGTCTCTGACAGCAGGGCAGTGAGACCATATGGTGGGCAGCCCCTACTCGGGCCTATGTCCCTGTTATGGAAATGGGAATTTCCCATTTCTAGCCTCTTATGGGCCTTGTGTACTATGATATCACGTGACATGTAAATAAAAACAACCTAACCAACTATTACTACCCAAAAACCCCATGTTCATGTTACTGTAAACTCAACTGTTACAACACTTGTTACATTAACTGTAACATCTTCTCAATGTCATGGCTCCCTCCTGCACCCAAATGCTATAGAAATGGGCCAATTAGGCCCCATTTTTATAACAGTCCCTATGTGGCTTCTTAGGCTGAAGCAGGAGTGTATTGTTATTAAAATGGAAAGCTAAACTAAGATGGACTACTTGCCTGAAGCAGGAGTGAGAAGAAGGCTGCTTCTTTGGTCCTGCTTCAGTTTAGTCATGTGAAATGGGTCACATGGAGGTGCCACGTCAGCCCTGGATGAGGCTGGGTCATTGCAGGTGGCTCCATGGTTGATCCCAAGTGTCAGAGTGGGGAAATACAAGTAAGGATGTGCAGCGCATCCAGCATTATGGTACCCATGCAGGGTCTATTCCCATCACTGGTGTAACTTTACAACAGCTTGGCCAATTGGCCTGAAACTTTGCATAGTGCTAGTGTCAGGGCCCGGCCTCTGTCCAGGGGCGGCCCTACATCAGAGCTGGACACTTGCGGTGTCCCAGGCAGCCAGGTGCTGGATCCTATCCCAAGCTCCTCAAACTCACTAAGCAGGGATTGAGTTGAGAAGAAGGGTAAGTTTCCCTATTCCCCGCTTGGCTGCTATAAAAGGGAAATGTACTGTACAGTTCATAACATGACTAAGGGTGGAAGCCAAGCATGTTCCCACAATGCGGAAAAGGTGTCACATGGGTTAAGGCGAGTTGCTCACCTTGACCCACGTGATTTTTCCCACGGGTTCGCATGCGGGCTGTAGTTGTGAGAGGTGTGTAAAGATGGGAGGATCAGGGAAGTGGGGGGAGGTCAGGGAAGGTGGTTCTGGGGTTGTATGGTCAGGTGTGGTTGCCCTGACAGCTAGTATCTGATTTATCATACTTTTCATGTAAGTTTTGTTATGTGTTTTAAATATGGATTTTGCGTGAACATCAGCTTTTCCCTGAGCTATGACTTCAATGTTGCTGAACCCGTTATTGAATATCTCCATGATGTGTGACCCTTTTGCTATGAAATTTTAAGTGGATTGTGTCAGGGCCCAGCCCTCGTTCCGTGATGGGCCCAGGGGGATCCTCCTAGTCACTGGGGTATCTAGTCCCAGTCCGAAATCCTCAAACTCACTGAGGGGGCTAGCCCCAGCCTTCACAGGAAATGAGTTGAGAAGAAGGGTAACCTTCTCAACCTCCTGTGAAGCCACTACAAATGGGAGCCAGGAACTATACAGTTTTCGGCTCTTTGGTGACTTTCCATAATTGGCACCCCCCCGTGGGAAGATTCTGGGCGAGCTGCTTGCCCAGAAAGTTCCCATGGTTGTGGCTGTGATGGTTTCTGGGCAAGTAACTTGCCCAGAACGTTCCCATGGTCTGCATGCATGCGGGATTGTGGAATAGTGAAGGGAAAAATAGGAGAAGGGTACCTGAGGGTGTGTGGGGTCAGGGGCTGTGCCCTGACATCACCCCCCCTCTATGCCGCTTCGCCTCAAAGCGGCTGTGGTTCTTGGTTGGTGAGGTTCTTTTGTCTTTGCTGGTTTGGGGGCTTCCAGGTGGGTCTGGTGGAATTCCTTTATGAGGTCTGGGGAGTTCTCCAGGTTTTCCCTGGGGAGCCATTCATTTTCCGAGTTTGGCCAGCCCAAGAATTTGACAAAGTACCAGAGCTGTCCATATCGATACCTGGAGTCCATGATTTTCTCCACCTCATACTCCTCTTCCCCATTTACGATGTCCAGGCCCAGGGGTGGGTCTGTCTGGTGTTCAGCAATCCTGTTGGGGGTATAGGGGTGGATGTTCATGACCGAGACCACCGGGTGGATCCCCCTCTGCCGGGCTGTGAGCTGTAACTTTACCGCTGCCAGGGATACTACCTTAACAATCTGGAAAGGGCCGATCCACTTGTGGTCAAGTTTCTTGGTTGGCCGGTCCGTTGTGTAGTTCTGGGTGTTGAGCCAGACCTTGTCCCCAACTTGGTACGCTGGTGCTGCTCTCTGGTTCCTATCATAATACCGTGCCATTTCATCCGCTGCATGCTCCAATGCCGCTTTTGCCTCCTGCATTTTCATCATCCAAGAGGCAAAGTCATTAGCCCCTTCAACTTCGGACATGCGGGTCGGTTCGGTTCCCATGCATGGATGCTGCCCAGAGTCAAGCTCAAAAGGGGTGCGATGGGTGGAGGAATGGATGCGGTTGTTGTAGGCAAATTCAGCAAGTGGCAGCCAGTCAGCCCAGTCATCATGTCTGTGGTTGACAAAGACCCAAAGGTAGGCTTCTATCTCCTGGTTGACTCGCTCAGTCTGGCCATCAGTTTGCAGGTGGTAGGCTGTTGAGGGGGTGAGTTTGATTCCTAGGAGGGCTGCCAGCTCCCTGGAGAAGTGGGAGACAAACGCACTGCCTTGGTCACTGAGCACCTCTTCTGGAAGGCCATGGTGTCTCCAGACATGCTCAAGGAAGAGCCGGGCTATGCCTGCCGAGTCTGCTGTGGTAACGGTAGGGATTGCGTGGATGCGCTTGGAGAGCCGGTCCACCACCAACAGGATCGCATTGTACCCCTTGGAGTCTGGGAGCTCGCCAATCATGTCTACTGAGATCACTTGCCACCTGCAGGTTGGGACTTTGTTTGGGATGAGCTTCCCGACTTTTCAGGAGGGGAACATCTGGTTACAGGTGTCGCATCCTGAGACATACTGGGCTATGTATTGGGGCATCTTGGGCCACCAGTAGTTGCAGGAGACGAGCTCTAGGGTCTTCCAGTGCCCTGGGTGTTCCATTGTTTCTGAGTCATGGGGGAGTCGGACCAGGTCATGGCGGAGTTTCGGGTCCCTTGGGACATACACCCATCCTCGGTAGAGGATCAACTCTCCCTCCTTTCCCCACTCGTCTGAGTGTAGGGTCCCCTTCTCTAGCTCCCTCAGTGCCTTCACCACCCCCTTGTCATGGTCCCTCCTTCTGTGTATTCTGTCGAGGATGTCTGCTTCCTCTCCCTCCACCATAACCCCTTCTGTAGCTCTTACCTCGAACCAGTCCGGGCGCCGGAGGGTCATGTCCATATTGTCCCCCTTTCCCTTCGGGTGGTCTGGGTGGTGGGACAGTGCATCCGGCTTCCCCATGAGCCTTCCCAGTCTATGAACCAACAAGAAGTGGAAGCGGGAGAGGTAGAGGGACCACTGGGCCTGGTGTTGGTTCAGCCTCTGGGCTGAGCAGAAGTAGGAGAGGTTCCTATGGTCAGTGAATATGTCAAAGGTCTCTGGGGTGCCTTTGAGGAAGTGGCGCCACTCCTCTAGGGCCCGGACTATGGCCAGCATCTCTTTGTCGTAAATCTCATAGTTTCTCTCTGCATCTGAGAAGCCTTTGGACATGAAGGCCACTGGGTGGAACTCTCCATCCTCTTGGAGCTGAGAGAGCACTGCTCCTGTGGTGAAGTTTGAGGTATCACATTCTAGCCTGAAGCGGCCAGAGTCGGAGGGGAAGGTGAGGACTGGCGCTGAGGTGATGGCTTCCTTCAATCCATCAAACGCCCTTTGTTCCTCCCTGCCCCAGGTCCACTGCTTGGACTTCCTGGTGAGTGTGTGGAGAGGTCGGGCTTTCTCAGAGAAGTCCTGGATGAACCGGCAATAGAAGTTTACAAACCCAAGGAAGGATTGGACTTCCTTGACCTTGGTGGGCGCTGGCCAATCCATCACTCCTCGCACCTTCACTGGGTCCATGGCAACGTGGTTCTCCAAGATGACCAGCCCCAGATAGTTGATCTTCTGCTGTTCAAACTTGCACTTTTCCGGTTTGAGGAATAGTCTCCAGTTCCTCAGGGTGGCGAGGACTTCTCGGACGACCTTCCGGTGCTCTTCCAGGGTAGACATGAACACTAGGATGTCATCCATGTAGCAGATGACAACCCCTCAGTCTATGAAGTCTCGGAGAATGTCATTCATCATTGTTTGGAAGGTGGCAGGGGAATTGCACAGTCCAAAGAACATTACCATCAGCTCAAACAACCCCTGGTTAGTGGCAAAGGCAGCTTTCCACTCGTCCCCTTCTTTGATGTGGACATTGTTGAATCCCCATCTCAGATCGAGGGCTGAGAACCACTTGGCTGTGTGGAGTCAGGTGAGGATGTCGGAGACGAGGGGGAGGGGGTAGGAGTTCTTGACCGTAATTTCATTCAGTTTCCAGTAGTCCTGGACCATGTTAGAACGGGGCGGATTCAGACGACTCCGGAATGGAATCGGAGACTTAACATGGAAGGACCTCGGCCTCAGCGACTCAGGCGGAGCGCTGTGCCATTGCTGTTTGTCCATTTGGTCCTTAATTTCACAGTAGGTGAGCAGGAAGTCTCTAGGGGGCATTTCAGGTCGATTTCGGACTAAACCAAAACGAGTATGTACAAGCGCCGATATATATAATGGAGGGGGCAAAAGCACAAGGAAAACAAAGGGTAACCGAATCGGAACGAAGACGTCCGAACAGGAACAAAGGGTAGAAGGAGCGGATAGGTACCGAAGGTCATAAGGCAGGACCTGTGA